TTTATGACTTTTTATGCCTTACTATACTATGACGTTTTTATGACTTTTTATGCCTTACTATACTATGACGTTTTTATGACTTTTTATGCCTTACTATACTATGACGTTTTTATGACTTTTTATGCCTTACTATACTATGACGTTTTTATGACTTTTTATGCCTTACTATACTATGACGTTTTTATGACTTTTTATGCCTTACTATACTATGACGTTTTTATGACTTTTTATGCCTTACTATACTATGACGTTTTTATGACTTTTTATGCCTTACTATACTATGACGTTTTTATGACTTTTTATGCCTTACTATACTATGAAGTTTTTATGACTTTTTATGCATTACTATAATATGACTTTTTATGCCTTACTATACTGACTTCTTGTGATTTACTATAATATGACATTTTAATGACTTTTTATGCCTCACTATAGTACGACTTTTCATGCTATACTATACAATGACTTTTTATGCCATACTATACTATGAAGTTTTTATGACTTTTTATGCCTTACTATACTATGACTTTTTATAACTTTTAATGCCTTACTATATATGACTTTTTATGCCTTACTATTCTGACTTTTTGTGCTTTATTATAATATGACATTTTAATGACTTTTTATGTCTCACTTTACTATGACGTTTTTATGACTTTTTATGCCTTACTATAATATGACTTTTTATGCCAAAGTCATAAAAACATCATAGTATAGTAAGGCATAAAAAGTCATAGTATAGTAAGGCATAAAAAGTCTTAAAAACGTCATAGTATAGTATGGCATAAAAAGTCATAAAAAGTCATAGTATAGTAAGGTATAAAAAGTCATTAAAATGTCATATCATAATAAAGCACAAAAAGTCAGTATAGTAAGGCATAAAAAGTCATAGTATAGTAAGGCATAAAAAGTTATAAAAACATCATTGTATAGTATGGCATAAAAAGTCATAGTATAGTAAGGCATAAAAAGTCATAAAAACTTCATCGTATAGTATGGCATAAAAACTCATAGTATAGTATAGCATAAAAAGTCATAGTATAGCAAGGCATAAAAAGTCATAAAAACGTCAAAGTATAGTATGGCATAAAAAGTCATAGTATAGTACGGCATAAAAAGTCACAGTATAGTAAGTCATAAAAAGTCATAGTACAGTATGGCATAAAAAGTCATATTATAGTAAGGCATAAAAAGTCATAAAAACGTCATAGTATAATAAGGCTTAAAAAGTCGTAAAAATGTCATAGTACATTAAGGCATAAAAAGTCATAGTATAGTATAGCATGAAAAGTCATAGTATAGTGAGGCATAAAAAGTCATTAAAATGTCATTTTATAGGAAGGCATAAAAAGTCATAGTATAGTAAGGCATAGAAAGTCATTAAAATGTCATATCATAATAAAGCACAAAAAGTCAGTATAGTAAGGCATAAAAAGTCATAGTATAGTAAGGCATAAAAAGTTATAAAAACGTCATTGTATAGTATGGCATAAAAAGTCATAGTATACTAAGGCATAAAAAGTCATAAAAACTTCATAGTATAGTATGGCATAAAAACTCATAGTATAGTATAGCATGAAAAGTCATAGTATAGTGAGGTATAAAAAGTCATTAAAATTTCATATTATAGTAAGGCATAAAAAGTCATAGTATAGCAAGGCATAAAAAGTCATAAAAACGTCAAAGTATTGTATGGCATAAAAAGTTATAAAAATGTTATAGTATAGTAAGGCATACAAAGTCATGGTATAGTAAGTCATATAAAGTTGTAAAAATGTCATAGTATAGTATGGCATAAAAAGTCATAGTATAGTAAGGCATAAAAAGTCATATTATAGTAAGGCATAAAAAGTCATAAAAACGTAAAGTCATAAAAACGTCATGTTAGTCGTAGTTCATAAAGGCATAAAAAGTCATAGTATAGTAAGGCATAAAAAGTCATAAAAACGTCATGTTATAGTATGGCATAGAAAGTCATATTATAGTAAGGCATAAAAAGTCATAAAAACGTCATAGTATAATAAGGCTTAAAAAGTCGTAAAAATGTCATAGTACATTAAGGCATAAAAAGTCATAGTATAGTATAGCATGAAAAGTCATAGTATAGTGAGGCATAAAAAGTCATAGTATAGTAAGGCATAAAAAGTCATAGTACAGTAAAGCACAAAAAGTCATAAAAGCATCATAGTATAGTATGGTATAAAAAGTCATACTATAGTGAGGCATAAAAAGTCATTAAAATGTCATATGCCTTACTATACAATGACTTTTTATGCCTTACTATAATATGACATTTTATGCCATACTATACTATGACTTTTTATGCCTTACAATATTATGTTGTTTTTATGACTTTTTATGCCTCACTATACCATGACTTTTCATGCCTTACTATACTATGACTTTTCATGCCTTACTATACCATGACTTTTCATGCCTTACTATACTATGACTTTTCATGCCATACTATACTATGACGTTTTTATGACTTTTTATGCCTTACTATACCATGACTTTTTATGACTTTTTATGCCTTACTATACTTTAACTTTTTAACCTTACTATTCCATGGCTTTTTATAGTTTATTATATATCACCTTTTTAAAGCTTATTATACTACTACTCTTTATAGCGTACTATAGTATGACTTTTCAAAATTAAATATACTATGACTTTTCATACCTTACTATAATATGAATTTTTAAACCTTATTATACTGACTTTTTGTTCGTCTTTATACCTTTACTTTTTATGTCTCATTATACTCTTACTTCTCATACTTCACCAGGATTTTTTAATTCCTTTCTACACAATGAGCCTTTGTGCCTTACTAAACTTTCACATTTTAATGCATACTTTATCATTACTTTTTCATACCTTAATATAATTTGACTTTTTGTAACTTAGAATCCTATGATTTTGGGATGGAACAATGGTAGACATTTGAATAACCTTGACTGTGTCCATAATCCAAACCACTTACTGAATCTGTAGAGTCTATACTTCGCACTAACAAATAACAGCAGGTGATGATGTCACATGTTCACCAGCTCCGGTTAAACTTCACAGACACAAAAACAAAATGTCTGAAGATTAAAACTTTATCTTCCTGGAGCCGTGTCACCGGCAACACAGCTGTGCTCCAGCTGATTTCAAGCTGTGACCAGGTCATACTCTTCCTCTGTGACTTGAACAGAAGCCATCAACAGGACCAGGACTGAGTGTCGTTCAAAAATGATAAATATCAGTAATGATACTGATTCTTAATGATAATTTGTCAAATACCAATTTTACCAAATCAACTATAACAAAAAGAAAATGACAACACACATTATGGTAAAACTTTTAGTTATACTATAGTTTGATCATTCATCTCGGTTTGTTTAGTCACACAAACAGCCAATCACCAGCTTTATTATTTGTTGGTCCAAGCATGTTGTACTCCGATTGGCTCACTGGGGGGCCAATATGGATCAAATAATGTGTCCTGAAGTCTGAGACACTTTCAGTCATTGATATTATGATGTAAAATTATCATCATATAATATCACAGTATCAATGTATATATTAAGATAGATACATTTCTGTAAAATCAACTTGAAACCTTGTCAGTACAAAGAGAGAAAGTTAGCATCAGCACAACCACTAACACGGCCAGTTACAAGCTAACAAACAACATAAACAATTAAAAGATGCTAACTACGCTAACCTTTCTGAAAAGATAACTGCCCTAACCATTATAAAAAGATGCTGTGTCAACTGTTCTGAAAAGATGCTAACTACGCTAACGTGTGGCGTAGTGGTCTAAGCAGGTGCCCCATGTGTAGAGGCTACAGTCGGCCCCGGTTCGGATCCCGCATCGGACGGCCCTTTACTACATGTCATTCCCCTTCTCTCTGCCTCCCCATTTCCTGTCTCTCTCTACTATCCTGTCCAATAAAGGCACAAAAAATCTGCCAAAAGAACATTTTTGTAAAAGTTGGTGGAAACCTTTACACCTGAGAGGAGAAAGAAGTCATTCAGGTGTAAAATCAGTACAGGTGTCACGGACCTCGACATCAATGTTTTCCTCTGTGTGTGTCTGTGTGTGTGTGTTCGTACACGTCACTGATAAACTGCAGTTTTAATTAAATTCTTCACCAAATTAAAAATCAACATTTCACCCTCTTCAGTTCGTCACTCAGGGACAAGGTTGAATTCAACTTCAACTCCTGTGTTGTTAATTTCCTTTTGAGTTCAGCTAAGTCTGACCCAGGTCTGACCCTGGTCCAGAACCAGGACTGGTACCGCTGGGACCACTTTCAGTTTTTAGAGACCAAATCAGATTTTTATTTTTATAGTTTCACTCTTCAAGTAAAACGTCCTTTTTACTGTAGAAATCTTCCTAAACACAAAGATTTTCTGCTGAGGGTAAACGGAGCTCAGCGGTTTGATATCATTCCTGTCGGCCATTTTCTTTATTGTGAAAAGAAAAGAGAAAAAAATCTAAATTTACCCACAATTCATTGCACCACGGTGCCACGTAAAAGAGTCAAGAACTAAACTGCTCTGTGCAGCGGATGAAGTCGGACTCAGTCTACCTGAAGTCTGTCTTAGACCTAAGAGTCAAAGTCTTTGTGAAACCAGCTCCAGGTCTGACCCAGGTCCAGCTCCAGGTGTGACCCAGTCCAGAACCAGGTCTGAACGTTTCTTCCTCTATAAAAAACAAATGAGAATAAAGATTTGCATCTTTCTGTATTTGCATACAAACAGTTTTGAAACCGGATCCTCGTCCTCAGGATGTCTCCTGATGGACATTTGCATCTTTGTCCTAAACGTCACAGCTGATTCTCACCTGGGGAAAACCCTTCACCTGTGACAAACTACACCTGTCCGTGAACTGAGGGAAGTTCAACCTGTCTCTCAACACCTCTCATGTGTTCTGTGTTTTCCAGCCGGTCCTCCGCAGCGTCCTCGTTCACCCAGAGAGCTCAGTGTAAAACAGGAAACAGAACAGCTGATTCAGAACTGATAAAACCTTTATTTCACTTTAAATTGTCTTTTACATTTTGTCCTGTTTATAACATGTAAGGTGAAACTAGAGTTGGAATTTTTTTTAAAGACATACACAAATCTAGTATTACGTCAATAACCAGGGTGGTGGTGGTGGTGGTGGGGGGTGGGGGCAGGTGTTGAGGGGGGTTTTTCTTTTTTTTGTCATTTTCTCTTTTTATCATCGGTGTCCTGAAGCTAAAGTCTAAAGTTTCACAACCACGTGCGCTAAGCAATAAAACCGTCACAGAAGCAAACTTTTTGTTTTTTTTTTGTTGTTTTTTTGGGTTATTTTTTTTTTCTTTTTATTTTAAGCAGAATACTGGTCAGTAAAAACAAAATGATTTGAGATACCAGATATACAGACAGGCTCGGTGCCACATTCACTACTGCATGGGATCATTTTTTCCTTAGAAAGCGGAGATTAACTGATAAACTGCCTTTTGTTCAGCTAACGAGAAAAAGAGCGGCAGGGAGGAGGAATCTTTTTTTTTTTTAACCTTTTAAACGTCAGTGCATGAAAACATTTTGTCCCCAGCAAAAGAAAAAACATTGAGACACATGACTTCTTCTACACCTACAGAGTGGAATGTCGAGATGGTTCATGACAAAGTTATTGTGACACTGAGAGGAGCGACGACCGTCAGCTGACTCCTGACCGCGTTCAGGACTGGAGTCCGGTCTGGGTTCGGGTTCAGGATTTTGTCGGGTCAGATCCGATCGATGTACCGTGAGCTGCTGGAAACAGAAACCGCGATCTCACTTCCACAAACAGATGATTGGCTGATCGGCTGCTGGGAGATTTTGGCTCCTTCAACGCGCTGAAAATCACTGCTTCCGTTTAAAAAAAAAATAAAGAAAATCGAATTCTTTTCTTTAACTCGAGCTCCAGATGTTTGAGCCCGTTTCCACAGTGATCTGAGAGTCTGATACCGATCGCCTCAGATCCAGTTTGTTTTGGAAACGAGGAAGCAGCGAGTTTCGTCGTCGCCTGCGGCAGATTTACATGGTGAAGCGTTCAGCAGCGAGCGGAAACTCAGGACTTCTCTCGACGTGTCGGTACGAGCAGTGAACGGGCAGAGGGGGGAGGGGGGAGGAAGAGGAGGATGTGGTTAAAAAGAAGCTGAAGCGAACGACAGGAGCGACTGTGACGGACGACAGACAAACCGTTTTTTCAAAAGACAGATTTACAGTTAAGCTCTAAAAATGTTTTACAATTTTACAGTTTTCAAAAAATGGAAAGGAGGAGTTTGATTCGTTCACACACATTAAAAAAAAAAGAAAAGCAAACGGCGGATGAGTGAACACATGAAGGTGGAGGGGTGAACTTCAGCTCTGATGCTCTGAGGTGGATCCAGGTCTCGTCTGTGTCTCAGCTCTCAAACATGAAGATGGAATGTATGTCGTCGGTTTGTTTTTGAAGAGCAGCAGGTGAAACACTTTGTTTTTTTAGGTTCGTCAGTGTCACAATAATTAATTAATATTCAGCCTCTTGGACCCTTCTGTATAAACCTCAGCAGAATGGCACTGCTGCTCACACACACCCTCTCCCAGCTGATGGAGGAAAAACTGAGCGTCACAGTGTTTGTTGAAAATAAACGGACAGTTTAATCACCTTTTCTTGTTTCGTTTAAAGTGGAATAAAAACCAGCGGAGAAGCCGGTCACACTAAGAAAAGCCAAAAGAGAAGGGGATGGATGGACAACTATATAAATGCATTAACTCGCTAGAGAGGAGGGAGGGAGGGGGGGAGGGTGGAGGAGGAGAGGATGCACTGAGATGTTAGGAAAGAGGGAAGAGGAGGAGAGAGATAAAAACAGAGGGATGTGGATCTAAAAACATGAATTCATCTTTGTGGTCTGGATAAAATCCTCCGGACCGGGGGTCTCAGCCGTGGAGTGCCATGATCGAGGGAGGGGGGAGGGAGGAGGAGGGAGGGATGTTGGGTGATGGAGTAGTTTCTGTCGCCCCCCCCCTCCTGTTTTAAAATTGATTGTGAAGGTCAGGTGCTATTCATGCTGTTGGTTATACAGAAGGAAGTCGGGAGGCTGGAGCGAGTGGGACGAGGGAATGAATGGGCTGTTTATGTACGAAGAGAGGAAGAAGAGAAGAAAGAGGAAGAGAGATAAAAGGAAGAGGAAGAAGAGTGGGGATGGGTTAACAGTGAAGTGCGCTCTAGTTCTCTCCATCGCCGGTCTCGCCCTCGTCTCCCTGGTTTTCTGATGTCCACAGATGGAGGGAGAGAGAGAGAGAGAGAGAGAGAGAGAGAGAGAGAGAGACATCTGTCAGTCATCGATGACACATGAGATGTCTCGTTACACTGATCATTGTTTAAGAAAAGATAAAATAAGAAAAGATATTCCTTTACATTTGCAGTGTTAAAGCAGCAAAACGAAAATATCAAATATTTTAAAAAGATAAATATAATAAATATAATATAATATGTACAATTAGATAGAAAATAGCAGCAGATCAGGGACATTACACAGATGGTGAGTTACGTTACTACATTACATCAGTGTTGGATTCATTTAAACACAAAGAGAATGAAGCTGTGACTCAATTATTAACTAATGTGACGACCAACACCAGTGTATATTCACTTCCTCATTTTATCTTATTAATCTGCTGCTGAAAATAGTCCCTGACAAATCCACCATTTCCTCTCGTTTGAGTGACGTTTGTTATAAACTACAGTGATCAGCTGTTTAAAGACATTGAGACTTTTTAAAAAAATTTAATATTGATTACCTGTTTTTAAACATGTTTTTACTAAACATTAATGTCTTTAGTAAGAATCAATGAGCTCAGACCCAGAGTATAGAGAGGTTGGAAAATCTTAGGAAATATTAAGATAAATATTTAAACAATAATAATAATAATAATAAGTATAACCACCAGCCTGATTCTATACTGTCTAAAACATTCAACTATTTTAACTATCGAGTCTATTGTTCCATTACTGGTGTATGAACTGGTCTGTGAGGCTCCGCCCACCACTGACACCTGTTATTGACAGGTGTCAGTGATAATCTCCATGGACCAACATCTGTTGTTCTACTGTTAAACTCAGTAACACAGAAGCGATTTTTATAAACTGAAGTTAAAGTGACTGCGATACAAAAACTAATCAATCATCATCATTAATCAGTCATTAATTCTGCTGGTGACACTTTGGTTTATTTGTCTTTGTCTCATCCTTCGATAACGTCTGAAACACGTTTTAATGATTGTTTTACCGACTCTCTTCACTTCCTGTCCGATCCTTTAGCTTTTTCTTTTATCTGGTTTTATTTTCTTACACCGCTCTAACTTTAGGAAAAGTGCTGCATTGTTACTCTGGGTGTGGAACCTTCTGTCAACACAAGATAAAGACGACAAACATTTACTGAGGCTCAACGTCCTGATGTTCAACACTGTAGTTACTGTATAAATAATTCAGGTCCATGTGTGTTAATAATCAGCAGTGACGTGTTGATCAGGGTCATTACACTCAAACAGAACGTGTCTGAGCTCCTGAACGCTGCACAGCTGCTGCGTTCACTGTCCTCAGTAAATGCAGCAGGTTTCATCGTGTGTGTGTGTGTGTGTGTGTGTGTGTACACTCACAGTGAGGTTGTCCCTTAGTAGCTGCATGATCAGCGTGCTGTCTTTGTAAGAGTCCTCGTTCAAGGTGTCGAGCTCGGCGATCGCCTCGTCGAAAGCCTGGGGATTTGGGGGGGGGGGGCAGAGAGAGAGAGAGAGAGAGGGAGAGAGACACAGATTTGAATAGAGACACTCAGATCAATGAACCACATTTATCTTCAGCTTTAAATCTCTTTACAGGACGTGTTGTCACATGACTCCATCCTCTCTGGAGGAGGACCTGCTCTGTGGGGGAGGGGCCACCTGTCCACCACCTGTATCAGTGATAACACGACTCACCTGCTTGGCCAGGGAGCAGGCCTGCTCGGGGGAGTTGAGGATTTCGTAGTAGAAGACGGAGAAGTTGAGGGCCAGGCCCAGCCGGATGGGGTGTGTTGGCTGCATGTCCTTCTTGCTGATGTCGAAGGCGTTCTGGTAGGCCTGCTGAGAGTTCTCCACCGTATCTACACACACACACACACACACACACACACACACACACACACACACAGTTGCATGTTGTGCTGCTTTAATAGGGACACCCTCTGTGAAGTTGACATATATGGTATACAGCACAGTTCTGTATATCTGATGTTCAGTGTCGGCTGGTATTCAGTTATTCGGTGCTACAGAAATGTGCACTTCAGAGTTCAATAAAAGGAACGTTTAGAAACTGCTGAGCCTCTGTATCAGTAAGTTTCTTCTTCTTTCTCTAGTGATAAAATAAATATTCTGAACAGCAGCAGCTGACTTTTGTTTGAGCTGTAAAATGATGCTCTGGTTCGGGTCTGTTTGGTTCTGGTGAACCCGTCGAGCTGCTGCTCTGTAGCTCATCCTGTTTCCTACATGATGATAAAACTTTACTTTATCAACTTGACGCTCATGTAGGAGCAGTTTGATCTTTCCCTTTTATCAGGGAAAGATCAATGAGAAAGTTGTTTTATTTAATGGCTGAAGGCCAGACACTCACCCTTCTTCGAGTCCCCAGAGGCCACCTCTGACAGGTATCTGAAGTAGTCTCCTTTCATTTTGAGGTAGAACACCTTGCTCTCCGCCTGAGATGCGTTGGGAATGAGGAATTTGTCGAGCAGATTCTGAAACAGACAGACGACCAGGACGATTCAGAAACACTCGGCGGACAAATGAACAGCGAGATCACAGACGGTTTCACTGATCGTTGTCTTTGTGCTGCAGCTACAAACAACAACAACAACAATTAAAGAGGAACCACCCAAAACTCCCCCTCAGATTCAGCACGTATAAGCAGTTCAATGACTCTTATCTTGAAGAATTTAAATTTCATTTCACAGAAATTGCAGCACAGAGCTAATACGAAGCGTCATGCTAACTTTGGCTGCGTGCCATGATCAATCACTTTTCAAAAAGGGAACAAGGGGAACTCTAAGAATAAAACGGTAGCAGAGGAGAAAGAGGAAATCCTCTGAAAACCAGACTGTCTTGGACACCACGCCTTCGAAGGCAGAATCGAGACACAGCTTTCGACTTCCTCCTTACAAAGTTGATCGCTCTCGATTGAACGGCTCTACAAATGTTTCCTAGAAAACTATTAACACATTCCTTAAGTCTTTACTCAGACATTTGTTAAGTTTTAATGGTGAAACCTGATGTAGTAAATCACAAGGTAGAAACTGGCAGAACAGCTGGTGCAACTCAGGTGTATGAGCACAGGTAGGAGGTCAGGAAAACAACACGAAAGCCTTTCAAGGCTTGTAACTGTTAACAAAGCCACTACAACTTTTAGACCCAGTCTGTGCTTTGAGCAGAAAAATGTATATATAGTAATAATAATAATCATTATTATAATAAATAAACTCCTCTCTACCATCTTTGTTTTTAATTCTAACCTCAGTACACCCTCCTGATTAGACCAGTGATGTTACACATTTGAACAAACTGACTTTTATCTTTCACTGTTGTCTAAATGTATTGTGTATTAACGAGCTGATTTATGACGTTTTCACGTTATTAAATCTCTGACAGTTTTATAGTTATACGCCCTCACCCACGTGTTCTTACGTTACTTGTTGATAAAGGAGAAGAAACAGTCCCAGTTTGCTGATGTGGTGTCACTAACTCTCAGCGTGTGTGTCATTCTTGTTCCCTCGGCAGATGTTATCCTCATCTGATAGTTTAAAGAAAGCTTTCACCCAGATCATGTGATAAGAACCGACTTTCCCCCAGAGCATCTCCTCTCTGAGAACAGCTTTGTTTCTCTGGTGGTTCCTTTTAGACCTTCAACCACAGAAGAGTCTGTTTTAATCTGCTGACTCCTGTAACCTGGGAATGTCATGTAGACATCTGAATCTGAGCCAGGCCCAAATCACCGGGTTAAGATTAACTAACAAGTCGCTCTGTGTCGTGAACTTTAACAGTACGGCTGACAGGCAGAGCAGCAGGGTATCAACACAGATAAATAAAATGTCTTCTTCACATTGTTCCAGCTGAAGGGAGAATTATTTTTAACTTTTAACTAGAGTTATTCCAACAGTACAGGTAGTACACCAGGTGTTATCTTTGTCAACATGTGACCTCAGTTAGATTTTTAAAAAAGAATACGTTTATTTTCATCTAATTCAGCTGTTCAGTCGTTCACAACAAAAAGAATTTAACAAAATAAAAAATCTAACTCCCACAAATCATTGACATAATAATTACATACCTGCAGTTACCATGTATCACCACAGGTGTCCCCAAAGATAACGAAACAGATCTCTGATGACACTATGGTTTGGTTTATGATGATATTAACAGAGAGACTAAAATATAAAAACCACCAAGAGATCTGTTTTTTATAACTTTAATACCTCTGGTTAAATCAGACCCGTGGTTTCCAAACATTTAGGCTTGTACCCTTAAAATGAAGCAGTATCTGATCATCACAGGTCTTGGTTACTGTGGACAACCAGGTAATTTGACTTCAAGGATTTTTATAGATTGAAAAGTTTTAAGTTTTCAGGATTTTGCAAGAAAATTAGAAGAATCTAATTTTCTTCCTTTCCTCTGTCAGACTGACCGTGTGTCCTGCAGGTTGTGAACCTCTGTACAGAGAATGGTGTAAAACAATGATCAGGACTGATCTGTGTTATCATTGAATTCTACATTAATGTGACTTTGATTAGTTGAGTTTAATTCACTGGATCAGACAAACATTCCTGTCTGGTTATTTCATCATCACAGTATTTATCAACATAAAATCACATGAATTGTAATAAAACATTTTATCTTTATCATCCACACCTGCCCACCATCATGTGGGGTTTCCTACCCCTGTGTTCAGGGCTTCTCATCTACTTGTCGAAGTGATTCAGAAACAGTTCTTCTAGACTTTTCTCTGTTCCTCTCTGCATGAGAAAGTCTGCAGCTGCCAACACACCAGGTCAGTGTGTAGATATGGATATTTGAATAATATATTTAAAAAGCAGTTTTTATTTTAAACTATATAATGAAACGTGTTTGTGACAGAAAACACCTGCAGTTTCCACACATTTCAATAGGAACAAATAAAACTCTGGTTCTCCTCCCCTTCTTCTGATCACACTGTCTCATCTTTCAGGTCGAGGTCTCTGACTGATTCTCTGTGCAGTGAATGCATCGCAGCCTTTCCCTCTTCAGCTTCCTGCTGCTTTAAGGACAGCATGTCTCCACCCGTCCTTCCCTCCCTTCATTCCTCCCGCACCACATCACTGCAGAGGCTCCCAGTTTGACCTTGAAGATATTATTAGAAGTCTGCTCAGGCGCTAAAAATCTGAGTCTGCTTTGACCTTGAGCAATTTCTGTTCTAACCTAGTCGAGACCTGACAGTGTGTGTGTGGGGTGGGGGGGGGGGGGTGTGTGTGTGTGTGTTCATGAGGCCTAAATCACATCAGAGGCCGAGACTGTTCAAGACTGCAGATAAAATGTCCCAGCAACATTTAGTGGGACTCCAGCTCCAGGTTCCAGGTCGTATCAGGTTCAGTTACTGAGATTTCATTAATAACTAGAGACTGAACGTAAACTAACTGCTTCTGTGTTTTTCTGTCACAGTCGAGGTTGTTGAGACTGAACTTGGAGCTTTTTAGTTACAAAAAAAAAAAATCACCACAACACTTTCCTGCTTCTCCACCACAAGTCACTGCATTTCTCCCAGAATCCCTGGCTGCAGCTTAGAGACCATTACAGCAGCAGCGTCTGTGTTCACACTCACGTTTCTGATTCACAGTCTCACACACAAACTCAACATCACAAAAAATAAAAAAAATACTTAAAAAGGAAAAAGCTTCAGGCCGCAGGGACACACATGACGATGTGGAATAACATGTGGAGCTTATGTGTCATTTCCAATTAATAATTAATCAGTCAGATAAAAGTCTGATGAGTGTTTAGATCTAAAACTATAATAATAAAAACAGTGACTTGGGTGTTAAAGCTTGGGTGTTAAAGCTTGGGTGTCATCTGCTCAACGTGTCGTCTCGCCACGTTGGAGGGTGAAACTGTTCAGAGCTGCAACGATTAGTTGATTCATCGATCAAGAGGAAATGAATCAGTAAATATTTGATGGATTTCAGGCTCCCAGATTTGAGAATTTGTTCATATTCCTTGTTTTACTCTTTAGTAAATTGAAGATCTTTGACCTCCAAGAAACAGTTTTTGATGTTTTAAAGAGCAAACGATTAATCACAAAAAAAAGATTTAAAAAATCAAAAGCTGAACGTCAACACTTGAAGGCAGCCTGAAAATCCTGCTGTCATAAGATACAGTGATAGTTTCAACACGTTCAGACAATATTCCCTGGAAGACACTTACAGTGTTGTAAGAACTTTGCTTCATACCTGCGCCTGCTGGGTTAGGGTCAGCTGTGTTTACGCCGACGCAACGAGAAACAAAATGACTTACTGTGTTAACCTCCCATCGTTACAAACGTCTGTGCGGTGTTTTTCATCTGATAAGATTCAATCATGGACATGTTACTCAAACTCCACTTCCTGGATCATTTCTCTCTCTCGTACCTGTAGCAACACGCCCACAGAGCAGCTCTGTTTCAGTGTGACACACCTCAGCCGACAGAGGCCAGCTGCACAAAACACCTTAAGATTTCCCTTAAAGTCTGAGTTAAGGTTTCCTTAAAATAAACACATCTGCACACAACATCCTTAAGTCTTCTTCTTAAAGTTTTCCTTAAAAAGGTCTTCTCCTTATCTTAGTCTTAAACTTAAGGAATCACTTAGAGTCAGTAAAGACCTTAGAGACCAAGCTGAGGTCAAAGCTCCGGTTCCTCCGACTCTGTCTGAACTGTAACGCGGGGGAGTTCCCTCAGAACAGGAGGATGAGATCACAGGTATCACAAGGGCTAATGGCAGCAGACCAACGGTCTCCATGGAAACAGTAGAATATTGCTGCTGTAAATTTCTTAACTTTTTTCCTTAACTAAGGAAACACTAAGAGATTTTGTGAAACACCCTTCAGTAACTCCCTCAGCTGAGGAGAAATTAAACCTGAAGTGTCAGACTTAAGGAGAAAACTTCAGGTGTTTTGTGCAGCCGGCCCCAAGGTCATAAGATGAACTGATGTATACACACCTTATATATATTATGTCTACACACACTCCACCTGCTCCTCTGTGCTCACACTAACTGTAGGTGATTTCTCATGTCGTGTTGCCCTCAGTCAAACTCTCTGCTGCTTCTGCACCAGTCAAATAAAAACAGAGTCGGGCAGCGAGGAGAAAATTAAAGCTTTGTTTGACGACTCTTCAACAGCTGCCAGTGCTGCTGCTAGCAACATTATTACTGTCTCCACGAGTAACACCATGTGACTGCTCTTCCTCCCTCAGCCAGGAGGGATCATCCTCCTCTTCCTCCACCTTCTGTCCCACTCCTCCCATCCTCTCTCTCTCTCTCTCTCTCTCTCCTCACACCCACTCCCTCCCTCCCTCCCTCCCTCTCCTTACCAGCACGTCGTGGCAGATTTCTTGGAGTTCAGACTCGATCTTCACGCGGTAATCGCGGGCCATCTGCTGTTTCTTCTCGTTCCCCTCCGTCTTCTGCTCAATGCTGGAGATGACGCGCCAGGACGAACGACGGGCTCCCACCTGACGACGACAAAAAACACACCGTCAACCTACAGCTGACACCTAAACACAACACCTGATATACGTTCATGGATAAATGGATTCTGGACAAAGTTATTTTACTACATATTTCGATCATGATGATAAATGAATGATGATTAGAGCTGCAGCTACTGGTTGATAATTTCATCTCCTACCTTTTATTTCTGGTTACTCACTTCCAAACATCTCCTCTCTTTTAGCATTTTATTGTGCTCTCTTTACTTTTTTGTCTCATTTTTAAGATCCGACCTTTTATTTCTGGTTTTACTCACTTGAATACATCTCTGCTGTTTTAGTATTTTGTTATTTTATCTTTATTTTCCAAACTTTTATTTATTACTTGGTCATTTATTGTTCTGTGTGTGTGTGTGTGTGTGTGTGTGTGTGTGTGTGTGTGTGTGTGTGTGTGTGTGTGTGTGTGTGTGTGTGTGTGTGTGTGTGTGTGTAGGTGGTTTTTTTAATTGCTTTTATCTGTAAAGCACTTTGTCTGAAAATTATTATTATACAAATAAAGTCTGATTGAAATATTTTGATAATTGAGACATTTTTTTTTTATCAGAAAAGACAAATATTCAAATTTTCGTGTCAGTTGAAAAAAACAAACAATTTGAATTTATGAGCAGCAACATTTTTCACTATTTTCTGGCATTTAACAGACAAAACAATTAAATCAAGAAAATAACTGTCAGATTAATCTATAATTTAACAATTTAAATCTCCCACAAAAAATATCAGTCTGAATGAATTTTACAGTAAATAGTAATTCACGAATGTGTCACTAAGTTTGTAATTCAAGATGAACTTTGAATTAAATCGACTGTATAGAACAAATACAAACCATCCAAACATTAGAACATGTGACTGCTTCCACATCATGTGACACGACTGTGGCTTCTGCTCTTTCCCACTGTATGTCCCATCTAAACATACCACAGCAGTGACTCACTGTTCTCCTGGGTGGGTTACAGCGAGGACTGAAACATGCAACAAAAAAGTACTGACTGGTACTAAACTAAAAAAAACATGAAGTAAACCTCGACGATAAATAGAGCAGCAGAGCTGGAAAACCTGAGGCTGCTCTTACATAATTTGGACTGTAAAATCTTCACGGAACAAACTATAAAATAACTGCAGCACAGCGACAGTGTCACTATAAATGCTATAAATACAGAAGAGCAGAGTTATTACAAATCTGAGCATCCTGTAGCAGCTCTAACACTGAACAGCAACAGCTCTGCCTTCAAAAACTGGCATTTCACTGAGTGATGAGCCAAGATAGGATAAGCTGTAAAGTACAGTCCAGTGTTGCAGGCTGCACATTATGTCCCGTTTCCCCGAGCGCCCACAGTAAACGTTTCCAAAGAAAACTCTGGCAGTCGTCTGAGAAAGAACAGAGGCCGTAACTTCAGAGGGAGGCGTTCCCAGCAGCCGTACGAGCTCAATCATCATCTCCAAACGCACCATGGGTGTTTTATTATGAGTCTATAATATATAGCATCAATGTTTGGCAATACGAGCTGTGATAATACATGTGGTGGAGTTAAAATCTGAATGTTTCTATATGAACAGGTTGTGTGAAGTGCGGCAGATGAACTATCGCATCACTTTGAATGCCGAGTGCTTTTTCTGTCTGTTTTCAGACACGTGGAGTCGATGGTCGATTTCCTCGAAGGACATTTGTTGTGACAACATGAGAGAGAAAAAGCCCAGACAGACAGGTTTCCAAACTCACCAGGAACTTCAGTTCCTCTGAGTTTCCTCTGGACCTCATCCTCTACACAGACTCCGCACACATCTCTACTGAGGCTGAAATATTCCCCTCAATGCGTTTTGCATCTTAACAGTGAAAACTAAACAACAGCATTAATCATGATTCGTTTCGTAATCAGGGTTTGTGGAGAACCAGGGTTTTTATTTAGATGATACTTCACTGTTAACTGACTTAGAGCTGCTCGATTATGGCAAAAATCATAATCACGATTAGTTTGATCAATACTGAGATCACGATTATTTAACACGATTACTAATCGAAACACCACACATTTATTAACTTAAAAATAAATAAATTTCAAAAACAAAAAGCATTGTGTGTCTAGTTTTTCTGGTTTTACATGATATAAGTTAAAGATATCTGAGCGTGGGGCAGCAGCCAAAGAGGGCGTGGTCTCTCCTGACTATATATAGAAACACCAGATGAAGCACTCCTATGTACGTTGCTAACGTACGCCGAAACGTAACCAGGAAGTGGCTGGAGGGACGGTTTTTGTAGGGGGGGGATGAAATTTACTGTGAAACAGAACGTGACACAAATAATCGTTTTATTTCGATTATCTTATTTTCATAATCGTTGGAAGACAAATTCATATTTGGAAATAAAATTTTATTACTCGCCCAGTTCTAACCTGACTGTAGAGCCTCGGCATACTTGTGAATTAAAACAAAGATTTGAGGCGTTAGTTTGATGCCATACCACGTTCTTGTAGGCGACAGAGAGCAAGTTGCGCTCCTCGTTGCTGAGCTCCAGGCCCTGCTCCGTCACGGCCTTCATGGCAGCCGCCATGTCGTCGTAGCGCTCGGCCTGCTCTGCCAGCTTGGCTTTCTGCACCAGGTCGTTCTTATCCATCTTTTAGGCTGCAAGGAGAAGAACAGGGGACAGAATTAGAGTTTGGACTTTCCATCCACCAGCTGGGACAAGCAAAAGCAAAAAAAAGGTTAGACTGACTTGGAAAGAGAAGAGAAGAGAAGAGAGGCAATGACAACGATAGAAAAACAAGTATGAGGAGTATGGGTGTGTGAGATCTGTGCAAAGCACGATGACTGAGGGAAATAAGAAACAGGAAGCCATTAGACTGAGACAGAAACTATGAGTTTCACTTTCTAAAAGCTGAAACATGTATAAAGACACTTATTCCACAATCAAACACTAGCACTGCTGGTAAAAGCTGATTAATAAACTGAATGGATCCTAATATCACATGAAAACAAACCTAATACTTGACTGGAATGAGAAGTGGAGTCTCTCTTCTAATTCAGAGCCTCGCCTCCATTACAGCAAATAAACTCCATCCATCACATGTAGCACACCGAGAACTGCTAAGTTAAAGAAGCTAACAGATGTGAATAGCACGTAAACAGAATCATCAGTAACTGGAAATGAGACGACACACTTGGTGCTGCACTGCAATAAAAGCCCTGATAAGACAAAAGGTTTCTGTCTACTGAAACACTAGAGGGCTTTTAATTTGAAACCGTTACAGGAAGTGTTCAGTTTGTATTAATGCGTACTGCAGTAACTGTAACACAGCAAACAGGAGCGAATAAAAACAAGGCTTTGTACTAAAATACCAGTGTGAACAATTACATATATATATATATGTTAAACAGAGGGAGTTAGAAATGTTCACGCCAAATCATTTCAGAGTCACGGCCAATAGGAGAAATCCAAAACTCGGCACCTTCAAGACTCAGTCATGTGACATTCGGCTGACCAATGGTGTAACTTGACAACTCTTTCACTCAGTCAGTCAGTGTCAGACAATCGTGTTCTCAGGGCCGGTCTCTCTGTTGTGGTCCAGCCAAAAAAAAAAGTACCATATAAAAACAGCAGCAGAGAGATAACAGCTCTTCATAAAATGTCAAAAACCCTTTCACTTCCAGAGAAATGGCTGCTCTCAGTTATTTCATCCCCGGGGCTTTCTGCTCTCCAGATGAATCTGTAGGTCTAAGTAGGCCACAGCCTCAGCTCAGCTCCTTTATATCTACACATCACACTGTAAACCCTCCACAGTCGGCTGTGACCGGCTCCAGGCGTCGACATCTGCATATCTAATTCATCTGAGTGACTCTTAAATACATGATTTCTTTATTTAAACTGAAGAATAAACTAACACATTATCATATCATTAGTAAAAACTTTCATTAACCCACATTGGAAACCAGTTTTATATCATATCTGATCACAAACAGGTTTGGTAACTTGCTGTTCTGGATGGTTAACTCAGCCCATCTACCTCAGGGTAACTAAAACACAACTTTATTGTGTTCAAGTCACCTTGACGATCACCTGACCTCCGACCTCCCTGAGGCCCTACAATGGGCAAGAAGCTATGATCGATTCATAAATTAAGTGTCATCTTTTTTTGTTGTTCAACTAATACCTTTATTTTTTGTATCAATCAAATCTGGTTTTTCAACCAAAGCTTGTTAAAAGGTTTTGGATTTTTTCCATTGGGTTTTAATAAATGTTTCAGTGAACATGGTCTTCAGTCTGTTCTGAGCTGATACAATAGGCATGACTGATAGATAGAAAATCAATAATGAAACCAAGCCAGGAAAAAGAACCATCTTTTTTTAAATCCTTGGTGCGAGTTGAAAAAGATTGATAAAAAGAATTCAATGTAAATGCAGATACTATAAAATGCATTCACCCTCCTAAAAAAATTAAAACATGATATACTTGTTTTGTTTAGTTGTCACCAAATATAATTTATTAGACAAAACCACTAATTGTTTCAGTTTTCAACCCCTTCCAGTCATTTAGTAAAAGTCCCTCTTCTGGAATTACAGTATTGTGGAAATGTCTTTATCAGCATTTTAAATCAGGACACTCTTCATTGCTCTGATTCTTTATTTCTTCTCGCTGAACAGGACTTTTAAAGTCCTGCCACAGACTGTTGACTGGACTGAGGTCGACCATGACCAATCCAGGACATTGATTTTCGTTTTAAGCCATTCCTGTGTGGATTTGGATTTTTGTTTAGAGTCGTTCTCTTGCTGGAAAATAAATCTCCTAAGTCAGAGTTTTACTCAAGGAATTCTGTTTTATATGTTCCTGTCTCTGCTCTCTCAGGCAGCATCACTAACACTGGGCGTGACATCAGCACCAGGCTTCACGCTGGTGTGCAGAGTAGGGCTGCAGCTGATGTTTGTTCTTTATTATTAATTAATCAGAGAAATGTTTTCTCCAGTTATCTACAAAAATATCGATAAGAATTTCCTGGATCCCACAGTAATGTCCTCAAATATACCATTTGTCCAACCAAATCATGTTAAGACAAGGGAAAAGCTACATGTTCGCACAAGTGAGAAGCTGGAACCAACAAACGTTTGGCATTTAATCATAATTATCAATTAATCAATTATCAAATTAGTTGCAGATTAATTGCCTGTTGATTGAACGATCGTTGCAGCTCTGGTACAGTGTTGAGCTTGAGCGCAGTGATCAAAAATCTCTCTCAGTTCATTCATCTCCTTTCTAATCCGTTTCAAAGTGTACCTCATGTCTTGTCGGAGACAGGAGACGACGTATGAAACAGTTTTGCTTTTTCTGTGTTAAAGTTCAATTAGTAAAGCTCCTGTCAATAGTTATTTACAGTGTCTTCTTCATCTGATAGCCTTCAATAATCTTATGTCGGATTCATGTGACATGTTTCTGTATCTTCATGTGGCTGATACAGGTGGGTTTTAATCATTTCCTATAGGTGGCGGTTTTTTTCTGTGGTTATTCTCTTTGTTGAACTCAGGTCATGAAGTTCACCTCACTCCCCCCTCCCCGTTCTGTGGTGTACTCTACATTACTCAGTAATTACTCATCACGACATCTGAAAGTTGTTCAGTTGCAGCTTTGATGTTCTCGTTCATTTCATCCAATGACATTAGATGACAGCTGAATTCTTTGGGAGCTACCAATAACGATCAATAAATCAATAATTGCTCCCGGCTCTACCTAAAACCACTTGACTCACTGAGGTTTGGCAATATGACAATAATTACTAGATGATGATTTTGTCACTGTTTATACGACAGTAGCTCCGACTTCTTTACAGCAGCATTAGATTTTTGTTTGACCATCTGTGTGATGGCGTATCTGTATGCGTCAGGTGCGTTCACTGCATTAACCAAAAATGCACAACCCAGCCAGATTATTGTATTCACCGAGACCGTTACTCAATTTATTTTCCACGACATTTACTAAATATGCACTGATACTGGGAATAAAAACAATATATCAATGACCATGATAAGAGATTTTATCCTTACCATCCTCTTTTGTCGCACCTTGATTCTACAAGGAAAACCATCTTTCCCCAATTTCAAATTTAAAACAAATAAAAATAAAATAAAATTTTATAAAAAATAAAAATTTTTATAAAATCCAGAGTAATTCAAACAGAATAATGATGATAAACCTTTAGCAAAGTTTATAAAATTATCTTTTAAAACTATGAACAAAATAATCAATATCTTTATTTATATTTTTGATAGATATTTCTGTGCGTGTGCTTTAAAATCAAGTCATTACTTGCATTATCACATTCATTATTACACACTTTATGGAAGCTTTAAAAATACAATAAGAATAAAAACACAGATTTTTAAAGACGATTTCAAAAAGTACAACTTTGTATTTACCATCTATTTGTTCTCAAGGGGCAAAAACTTTAGAAATCATGTCAATAAAACCCTTTTTATTAAATATTGTATAGCTGACTAATAATGAGGATATTGGTGATGTTTACCATTTCCTCAGTGTAAGATGTGATAATTATTCAACATAATACTGGTAATGCTTAAATGTGAAGCAACAGTACAAAGTGAAAAGAAACCAGGGGACAAAACTTTGTTATTCACCAAGTTTGATCCTGCTGCTGCTCTCATGCACTTCCTATGGTCTGCAGAGTAATTAATAGCCTCTCAGCTGGGAGCGCACCCATGGCACAACCCCAGTGCTGATTCCAGGGCTAAATATTGAGTGCAGTTCCATTAGTTTACCAAAGAAAAACAAAATGGTGAGCCCATTAGTGTATGGGATCATAAATACAGAAACCCATTTCCTCCATTATCAGGAAACTCACTGAGAAGAAACCTCTGAATTCATCAGTGTGAGGTTGCCATAAAGTGGCTATTTTTTATTGGCCAAGTCCCCAACATCAGCACCACTACATCAGTTTGAGTTCTTTATCTAAGACTGATTGATTTTATCAGCACCCTTTATCCCACTATATTAGTTTTAAGAGAAAATATTAGGTTACAATAAGCTGCACTCTATGTCTTCATAATCCTACATACAAATCTACAAAGACACTGATTTTGAAGTTCACTTTATGGATTTTACAGCTCCAACATAAACATCTAAAGTGAGCTAAGTTACTTTAAACGTCTAACCTCTAACATGTCATTTTAGATTAGTTGAATAATTGATTAAACTACAATAACTGACAATCATTTAAGTCACTTGTCAAACAAAAATGCAGAACACGATCATTTGCCATATTTCCATTCATTATTAATCATTTCTATTACTAATTACTCTTATTATTTGTTTACTCTGCAAATTGTGTTTTGGAAGGGGCTATATTAATAACATTATTATTTTGATTGCAATTGTCAGAATTATTTGATAGTAACCTAATATCTGGCCTTGGCTGGACAAAACAATTTGATTTTATCAACTTGGGTTCTGGGAAATTGTTGTGGGTATTAATCACCATTTTCTGGAACAAAATACTTATCATTTAACCAAGAAAATAATCAAAAGTAGGAACCCTACTATTTCTATTCTTTAAGAGGTGAGTGAGGGATGGATTTTTATCTTCCAGTAACACCTTTCAATCACAGATCACATTATTTTAAAAACTGGTGCAAGATAGTTCACTCACTGTTGCCAAAATCCACCTCAGGTGTTAACGTGTTAAGACAAATTACATGCATTTGGCAGATTGAACTGTAACTAGTACATTCACCACCCCCCCCCCCCCCCCAAAAAAAAAGGAGCCATAAGTAAGAGTTAGTGCTAGTTTAAATGACCAAGTAAGATAATGTTGGACTGTCATTTTTTGTTTTATACTATGCTGCCAAGACCTTTTTTAATAATATATTGTATTTTATCCGTTGGCAGTTTCAGATACATAAATTTGTATATGTAATTACATTTCTATGTTCTATCTTTTATGGACATATTTCAGCGTGGGCGGTGAGTTTCCACTACAACAATCCGTTTCAGGGGAGGATGTGTTCAGTCTAAATACCGGGGAAACGAGGCTTAAATCAAAGTCAAACAGAAAGTGAATCTTCACATGTGGCATTCACGCATCGCTGTCATTTGGACCACCGTGTAATGCCTTAGAGGCTAACCCGTTTCATTTTAGCATCCCCGAGTTAGCATTTAGCAATAGGTGAAATGCCGCTTATCACGGTTACAAGCGCATTAATGAAGCGTTAGTTAACCGCCGCAGTGACCCGCACATCGGTAAAAATTGATCCAGCTTGGCCTCCTCGGTCGGCTACGATCATCTGGCACGGCACCAACACACTCAACATTAGCAATGCTGTTGTTATCCAACCACCTAGCACACCATTAAGGTTAACAGGCTAATGCGCACCGAAAAAAATGGGGAACACCATATTCATCGGCAGAACGAGATATATTAAACGGCTTTAAAACATCTCCGCGATAAACGTTTTAACGCCAACGGTAACCAACACCCCCCACGGGCCGGGGATATTTAGGTTGTAGCGTTTCGTTTCAACGGCCCGCTAACAGCTACGCCCTCCTTGTCGCATTCCCCTGCGGAATTTTAAGATGGAGAGATAGATTACCGCCAGCTAGCTAGCATGCTAACTGAACGTCACGGCACGGCCGTTGGCTTTAACGGTTAGCTTAGCAGCTAACAGGATCTGACCCAGTTCAGTCTGAATGGCGATACGATAGTCGACCCCGAGCCGTTAGCTGAAACGGCTAACAGGGTAAAATACAGCCGTTTGTTCCGCGTCACCGCTGACCCCTGGCCCGTAGATGTTGTCGAAAGGCAACGTTAATAAAATTTAAATCTCGTTTGAGGGGAAACTCCCGGGTAACAGGGAGGGTGTGTTAGCTTCCATATCGTCTCACTACGCCATGACGGAGCTCGGCTAAAGACATCGACAATTTCGCTGTTCTGCGAATAATGAGGTCAGATATGTCGGTGGTACCGTGACACCCTGTAGCCCGGTGTTTGCTTTACATTATCCGCCGTGCAATGTAATTAGCACTTGCGGCTAAAATGTCTCGGTTGCTCTCACGACGGCCGGGGCACGGCTGCTGCTGCTAAGCTGTCAAAATGGCCAAACTTGGGTACTGCTTCTCCCTCCCTTCACGGGCACCGCGCACCACGCATGGCACGGACCGGAGCTTGGGCTTTTATGAATAAAAAAATAAACGATTTTAAGCACATTCGACAGCTCGACGAGCACAGACAACCTCGCGCTGGGTAATTTGTGAGTTATTTCTCGCTATTTGGCCACAAGTCTCGGCCTAAATCCTCGCACCCAGCCCCAAACCACAATAGGCACCTTCCGCCGCAGATGCAGCGAATGGGGCCACCGCTGGGGCTGCTATTCCCCAAGAAAGACCCTCTTTATCCCGTATATATGACAATAATCGAGTGATATGCAGGTGAACTCACATTTAGAGCGTACTTGGAATCCCGATTTTATTCTCTGAACGATGGGAGTTTATCAAGCCGTCCTCCGCTCGCTGCTCAGGGTATTCAGGGCAGTACCACTTCCGCCTGCTCTGACACTTCCGCTTCCTCTAACCCCCCCCCCCCCCCCCGCCAGTATCCATGGCGACCGCGCCAGGGGGTTTCCTAAGCATCTTGCGAGGGGCTTTGACGTCAGGAGGACCATGGCAACCGCTACAGGATGACGTGCGCCGGTCTCCGTGGCAACTGTCTCCATGAGGCCGCTGCCGTCGTATCTGAGTTCACCATCGTGTCAGCTGACACAGCTCTGTGTGGGTTACACTGATTTTTTTTTTTACAGGCGTTCATACTTTATAACGAGCAGGTCTGTTTCACCCTCCAACCACCTACACATACACTGAACCCCGAAACACACTGTCCACCATCAACTGTTTTCATCTCAGGACACGTTTTAATCCAAATTCATCATTAAAAAGACAAAACAACACAGAGTCTCTTCTGAGTTCTCTTATTCACTGTTCCCCTTATAATAAACACATATATAATATATTAATATAATATTCTTAGACTGCTAGCCATGCCATCTAGGAAGAAAATCTAAATATACACCCACATTTGAATTTATTGTTACACACAATTTCCATATTTCACCCCAATATTTTCAAATCATAATTAGATTTAAGACCGAAAATTCACCATGTGCAATAATCTATGCAATATTTTTTGTTATATCTATATATTTAAATATCTAATTTGTACATATTATTTGTATTTATTTGTTTTTGTATACATTATTTATCTTTTTTAAGTATTTGATATTGTCATTTAGCTGTTTTTCTTTCTTTGCACTGTCATCTTCTCTCATGTTATTTTATCTTAATTTTTTCACAAATTTAGAACATTTTTCAAAATTGCTTTTTACTTTTAGATTTGAACCTAATGGAGCGGCCTGTCAACATAAACAATTTGTATTTTATTTGTTTATTTGTTAATCGACTTTCTAACAGCAGAGAGTTCAAGTGGTCTCTGATTTCGGGACTGTTGTGCTAATGATCTAAAACTACAGCTGAGACTGAACATCACTGTGATTTTCACATTTATCCAATGCAACGCTTTGCATTTTTGAAAGATTACTGCACATGCCATGGAAACTACTTTTTTATACTATTGGTGAGATTTTTCAGGACACCTCAATAACCCTCAGAATCCAGACACTAAAATAAAATGGTGGAAAGTATAGTAGGCCTACATAAGGTGTTTTGGATATGGTCTTATTCTGTGTGAACACATGGAGCCCCAAGGGTCTGGCAAAAAAACAACGTGTAAATCTGTACTCTCGTTCAGAAGTCCGTCCGCATGCATTATATTCTGTGCTCTTGGATTCAGTTATTTAAATGACGCACATCCTCCATGTTGAATTGTTGAGAAGGCAAACATTAAAGATGGCTGTAAAGAACCAGCTGATACAGCAGGTTTACTCAAAGTCAAACTGGTCTGTTTAATGAGTTTGTTTTGTAAGAGAGAATATTAAGACATTTGAATTTTCTGTCTTCTACAGTTCACTTTGTTCTGCATCAGTAAAGCTCAACTGAACTGGAATAAACTGCTGAACGTATTCAATTCACTGAGCCAGTTAATCAGTCTGTCAATCAACCAGCCCATTTCACCGCCAGAAGATTCATTCATTCATTCATTCATTCATCAGGTTTATCAAACCACATCAATGAACATTTGGTCGGTTGCATAATTAATCAATCAAAAAAAAAAATTCAAATAAATTCATTCATTAATGCTAGTTAAAAGATAAAGTGAGCAAGCAACCAGGAAATCAATCATCAAATCATTCAATCAATCAGTAAATAAATCAGTCAGTAAGTTACTGATTGAGCTGTAACTGAACTGATTTCTTTGGTGTTGGCTGTTTGATGTGATTGGCAGTACAGGTGTGTAACTGCTATATGGGAGTGTGTACTCTTGGGTGTGTGTGTGTGTGTGTGAGAATGAATAGACAGGGACAGATACACAACTTCACTCTGAAGTCACTGTGAACTTTTCACATGAAAGTAGAGATGTCCTGATTGTACATTTTTACAGGAGACTACAAAGACACACAAGACAACAAAAAAGAGACACAAGAGAACTGCAAAGAGAAACAAGACAACAACAAAGAGACACAAGACAACTACAAAGAGACACAAGACAACCGCAAAGAGACACAAGACAACAACAAAGAGAAGCAAGACAACAACAAAGAGACACAAGACAACAACAAAGAGAAACAAGACAACAACAAAGAGACACAAGACAGCAACAAAGAGACACAAGACAGCAACAAAGAGACACAAGACAACAACAAAGAGACACAAGACAGCAACAAAGACACAAGACAACTGCAAAGAGGCACAAGAGACAGCAACAAAGAGACACAAGACAGCAACAAAGAGACACAAGACAACAACAAAGAGACACAAGACAGCAACAAAGACACAAGACAACTGCAAAGAGGCACAAGACAACAACAAAGAGACACAAGACAACATCAAAGAGACACAAGATAACAACAAAGACACACGAGACAACTACAAAGAGACACAAGACAGCAACAAAGAGACACAAAACAACTGCAAAGAGACACAAGATAACAACAAAGAGACACAAGACAGCAACAAAGAGACACAAGACAACTGCAAAGAGACACAAGATAACATCAAAGAGACACAAGATAACAACAGAGACACAAGACAACTGCAAAGAGACACAAGACAACAACAAAGAGACACAAGACAACATCAAAGAGACACAAGATAACATCAAAGAGACACAAGATAACAACAAAGAGACACAAGACAACTGCAAAGAGACACAAGACAACTACAAAGAGACACAAGACAACCGCAAAGAGACACAAGATAACAGCAAAGAGACACAAGATAACAACAAAGAGACACAAGACAACTGCAAAGAGACACAAGATAACAACAAAGAGACACAAGACAACCGCAAAGAGAAAACAGTTCAGCAGACTGTTTATTACAACTAAGCTGAGGGAGTAATGTATTTTCAGATATCTGTGATCATCTAATCAGAGTGCTGTTTCTTTGGTCTTTTTCTCTGTACTCTACAATATGATATTGATATGATTTCTCTCTATTATAATGTTTTTTTCCATCCAGCCAAGGTCTGGATCTTTGGGGACACCTACAACCTCTTGCAGCGATGATGGAGGCCCTGCACCACCTCCACCTGCAGTGTCCACACATGAAGATCTTCTCTTCCCAAACATACACACAGTGTCTTATAGGATGATATAGTATTTTTTAATGTAACACTTGTGGCCATAACATTGTTCAGTCTGATCAGCTGTGCTCTTCCTGGTTCCCTTCACCCTCACTGTCGTATTACACTCTCTGCCCCACGTCAGACATACAGTCAGATGACTTCTGGACTCCACTGTAGCTGTAACAAACTGTCAATAGTTTAAAACATTAGAGTTCATATTTCGTAGTCCTCAGCCATTATAGTTAATATCAGTGTGCTGTTCCAACAGCATCACTTATTTAGAGGGAGATTGTTACTGGAGCAAATAAATATTAACTGTCTCACACATTAGGACTCATGATGAATAATGATTATACTTGTTACTAAAGATTCTGTTGCTGTTGATTCAACTACTTCTTTTTATTAAACAAACTTACATATGACAGTGAAATTCAGCTTTAACTTCATCCACAACTATTTTTTGATTTTAAATAGTTACAGTTGATTGTAAATTGTACACTACAGTATTTAATCAATCCATTTATTACATTCTTTTATACATGTTTCCAGTGTTGCAAATTGTTTAAATTAATGTAGTTTATAATGTCCAATAAAGTTATTTATGAAGCTCTTGCTTTAACTTTGTTGATGGTTTTTATAGAACACATCTGGTATGAATCTTCACAATAGTAACACGTACAGCATTGTGTGACTATTTCTATGTTAGCTTTAATCAACAACATAAATACTAGAAATGTTTAAATGTTGTCCGACAACACTGACAATGAAGGATCAAGAAACATGCTGATGTTAATTGGTAAATACTTTCACCTGTGGAGGTGGTGACAGTGCTAGAGATGATCCATCACTTAACCACAGTTTAATATTTATAAATTCTGATCTTAAAAGTGTTGCTACCATCACCTGTCAACAACGGCAGAAATGAAGTTGCTGGTAAGAAACTGAACCTGTGAATACTGAAGACAGAGAATAATAAACTAACTCATCAGCAGTTAGTCTGTCATTTCATCAGAGGAAGATGAACTGGGAGAGGTTTTCTACCATCATCATCATCACAGCACATTAGAGAACTAAGGATGTCCATGCAGTCTCCCTTCTCCACAACCAGATGAATGGAAACAAACGGGCTGCTCTGTACATGAGGTCCTCCTTCTGTTGGCACAGATCACTCAGTTTTCACAGTGTGGAAACCTTTCAAATGACAATAAAACACAAACACTTGAGTTAAGATGCGGTGGATCACAGTTAATCACAAATATCGATCAGCTGTCAGGACAGGTGCATGAATGTCTGCTTCAGTTGAGGACTGGTTTGAGTATTAAATGAACAAACTTCTATGTGACAAATATCTGTCTACACATTTTGTAAACGTCACGTTATCTTAACTTGAACTATCACGACGTCTTGATGGACAATGTATTAACCAACATTAACGCTGCGCATTACACTAACGCAGATCACTTAAACTGGTACTGTTAGGATAGCAATCGCTAAGTTATCAGCTAACGCTAGCACTAGCTGGCTAGCTTGGTTAGCAAGGTGCATCTTCACCTGAAGTGTGATATTAACAGGGATGCTAATTTTGGCTAGCAAAGAAATAGGCTTAAAACAAAATGTACTTACCGGAAAAAACTGAACCGCCGATTCCTCTGAGTGTCTTTGAGAACAACTGAACAACGAACAAGATATTTTCAGGCAAACAACAGAAGGAGCTAACTTTAATGAAAACACAATGACAAATCAAATGTCCGACACATCGCTCTGACGTCATATCCGGATTAACAGGCAGGTCCCCCTGTGTGTCAATGACGCGGTAGCCACGCC